ATGCATTGCGGTTCTCAACAGCATCGCCCTTCCTCGCATATACTTGAATGCCTTGTAGCTAAATTGGTAGTGTAACTTCAGTGTCTCTCGAAACAGTTGTTGTACACGAGCTATTTCTGTTCACCCATCACATGCTCTATTCCTTTCCGGTAGTTGGGAAACGACTACCAACTGAGAGTACGTCAGTAATCAGTTACTACCCGGTGGCAAGTGGAGCGGTTCTCCTGGCAATGACAGTGGCTTTCCATTGTCCATTGAGAACCCTTCTTTCTCCAGCCAAACTTTGATCCACCTTGCGGAAACTTTCCACTGCTCCGCTATCGCCACATTGATCATAATGTGCACTTAATGACTACCGTACGGGTGTGGAAGTAGCCTGGTCTGCTGATGTGGTCGCCATACCTAGTCACATAATTGAATACTGTTAGATATTTTTCTAAGCTAGTAACTGTCAGTATTTAATAACCTGAGATACCGAGATACCGATTATGGAGGTTTGACCATACCAGCTTAGCAACTGTTTCAAATAAACAGTCGTTGGCTTGGTCGGTCAAAACCTGACAGAAGTTACGAGTGTTCAACGAGACAATGGTTCGTCCCTGTCTTTGCCAGCACAGCCCTTCCCTGTTGCCCCTGGGTGTTTATCCAAATATTCTCGGTTGACAGCTGCTTCTGTGATGGCCATCAGGAGTAAAGCTGCACAGCACGTCCACTGTAAAGGTGCAAGTACACAATCAGTTGAGTACAACACTGCCTAATGGATTTCTCGCATAAGTCAGTGCTGCCAGTAACTCGGTTAGAAGAAGGAGTCGGGTAGTGCTGACCTGATTTTTTAGAAAAATTGTAAATTGGCTTGACCAGGTTTGGATTCGATGAATAAATAATGCATGGCAGTGCAGGAAGCCGTATAGGAAATAAAATCAGTCTCGTCCATTGTTAATTATTACTAACCAGTGCGAAACTAAAATCTCTCATAACTGATCACGCACATGCCTATTGGCTAAAAAACAGTACTAACTAAATTGTCTGTTTTGTTTACCCATCTGTTTTGTTTACAGGTACCAGTATAAGTGGAAGATCGAAGAAGCGTGCAAAAACATCATGCGAACGCACACGACTGCCATCAGTATGAGAATGCTGTATGAGTTGGCTCAGCGGGTCTGTTCGTTTCGTGATCGATTGTCTTTTACTTTAGTACCGCTACTTTCTAGAAACCCTTTAAGCCGGTCAAATATTTCAGCATTGACCGAGTATTCCGAAACGAAACTCTGGACGCAACGCACTTGGCAGAGTTCCACCAAATAGAAGGACTGGTGGCTGATCGAGGACTTTCGCTAGCTCATTTGATCGGCATTTTGAACGAATTCTTTGGCAAACTAGGTAGGGTTGAAAACCAGCTTTGTAGACTAGTGTTTGAAACTAAATGAGTGAGATTAAATCAACAAACGTACGATGATGAATTGAGTCCCCAGCTCATAGGGCTGCTTTATTGCGAAAGTGCCGGGATCATTGAAAAACCGCACAAAACCCGTATTGTAAATGACGTCGCGGGATCGAACCAGTCAACTGTGCCCTTGGAGCTCCCTTAATGACCTGGCCTCATCGATTCCAATCGGTATACTCCTATTAACTGTTCTTTCCGTTGTGTGTTCAGCTTTCTTTATTTTATAACTGCACGTGTGATTTGATACCCCCTGAATAATAAAGCAGTTTTTTACAGTCTGGTTTTGTTGTAAAGCCGGTCGATCTTAGAAAATCGTATTGTTGTTTCACTACACTTTCATGGTCAATTTTGTTTCTAGTCATGAAGCGCCTCCGATTCAAACCCGCATACAACCCTTACACCGAACCGTCGATGGAAATTTTCAGTTACCACGAGGGCTTGAAGAAATGGGTGGAGATAGGTAATTCAGGAATGTTTAGACCAGAAGTGCTGCTCCCGATGGGTCTTCCGGAAGACGTTAGCGTGTGTGCTTGGGGGCTGTCTTTGGAAAGGTATGGTGTAACGGTTTTTATTGAGAACACCATTCTGAACAGCGATTCTTTCAGGCCAACGATGATCAAGTATGGCATAGACAACATAAGAGACATGATTGGTCCGAAGGTTGATTTGGGGATGATATATGATTCTCCCATTTGTCGTATTGACAAATGATGTTTGAAAGGCTGTGTGGCTATATCGTCATGTCAGTAAACCAATAAACGTTTTTTCGAACCAGACGTTGCCAACAGGTTCAACGATTGCTGTATAAATACGATGTCACTGCGTCTTACCTTTCTGCGTAAATTAGAACGTACGCTTCATTTAACTACCACTGGTATACTGTCAGTAATATCTTTTTTATAGCAAGAATAAAATTATCTGAAGAAATGGCACGCATTTATTGTTTGTGTTGCTAGTAGTACTCGAATATTGATCATAGTATTAGATGTATTAATGCATGACTGGCACTATTATTACTACTATTGCCATATTAATGATACTGTTTGGAATTAAAGCAGGCAATGGCTTCATAATATTTTGGGCATTCACAGGGTGCATTCGCATCACATATTTACCATTTTGCTTCGTAATGTTAACAGTGTGGCACTTACGGACAGCGGGAAAGGAAAGTTTGTCACCGTTGGAATATTACACTTCCTTCACTTTTACGATTAGGCCATTTTGGAGCCCTTTTTTCATGAAGTTGATCATGCGACGCTGATCTCCGTTTT